TGACAAGGAGCATCATCAACAAATATCACGGACATAAATGTCCGTACCTGACAAGGAGCATCATTATGAGCAATTGACAACAAATATCACAGTTGTATCTGACAAGGAGCGTCATCAACAAATATCACAGACATAAATGTCCGTACCTGACAAGGAGTATCATCATGAGCAATTGACAACAAATATCACAGCCATATCTGACAAGAAGCATCATCAACAAATATCACAGACATAAATGTTTTGTATATGACTATAAGTGAGTATAATAATATATTGTTGGATTAAATTAATTAGCATGATTTGTTTCTATGACACAGCATGACAAGTCAAAGTATATTACAGACATGGGTTAAAACCATGGGCGGACCACGAAGGATATAACCTAGACACTTGAGACATGAAATGTATTGGTTAGAACCTTTGTCGATCGGTTGAATGGGGTGGAACTCTGTGGATCCATTCCACGTGGTTTGTTACAGGGTATTCGGAAAATATTGGTTCCACTTGGAATTTCCATGATGGTTCCACGTAGAATTCTCAGTAGATCTTAACCGGCAAAAACTTCCTGATAGTAGATTGTTGAAAATTATATGTGATTAGGCCTTTATTCATGATTATTTTATTTACTATGAAAAATAATTGTAATCCAAAAACTATAAAAAGTTTTGAAATAAATAATAGCAAATTTATTTATTTTATTTATAAAATTAATAAAAATTTTTGCAAATATAAAATGAATATTAAAAATTATAAGATATTTTTCATAAAATTGATCGAATTAGAAGTTTTTTTCTGATTCGTTTAACATACATAAAATCTGTAATTTCAAGCAAGTATTATTATTAAAATTTGTTCAATATATCAAATTAAGATTAATTCTTGGGAGATTAATTTCACTAGCAATAATCAAGATTTCGACATATAGTTACTTAAAGGCTAAATCCTTGCTTCATAAGTATTATATTATATCAAAGTTTGAATTTATTTCCATGCAATTAATTTTTTTTGGGGAAAAAAGTTATAAATTTTCTTACCTCAATATCAATAGGTATAATAATATTTGATAAACTGATAAAGAAATAAGGAAAACGATAATTTAAAATAGTCACACGAACACGAAATATTTTACGTACGGATCATTGTTACTACAATAGTTATACTATAAATTCACTAACCTACAAAAATTCTAGTGCATTTTGAGATAGTTTCGGTACCTTAAAATCTTTTGACCCAAGAAACCTGACTCAAAGTCGGTCACGTGATTTATCTAACTCGACACACCATTTTTTCTATGCACAGCAAAATGTTCTTTCTTACTTCAAGAATCCTGAAAAAAAAAGATAGAATCCATTCATTTGTTAAAGAGATGAGTCATATCTTTAAATTTGAGACATTACATTTGAAGAAATTAGATCCGCTAAATCAATTAACCCAATTATCAATTCATACATCAACATTATTATATGAACGAATTTAGGATTATCTCGTCAAAAATTTAAAATTTTATTTCTTAATAATAAAAAGTAACTTTTCCTACGATTAGTAACAATCGATTTATTATTGAAAAGTAGAATTTTATTTGGAAAAAAATCTTTTTTTTTTATTTGATCATAACATTAGGAATACACTAGGATCCTTAATTATTAAAATATTAATCATTCTTTCAAAATTTGAAATATTTCATATTCTTCTACGGAAAAATTGTCTTTAGTTTCTCTAATTGATTTGTCATAACATCCATAATAAGAACAACAACTCTGATCATAGCCATTTTCTCCAAACAAACAAAATTCACCAAAACCAAATAATGGACCACCATTAATGTGATTAAATATAGCATAATTTTCATTTTTTACGCGACTTAAAACATAATTTCCAATATTTTCCTTATTCTTAAAAGATAATATAAAACTGTCTTTAGTAATGTCATAGCCACCTTTAGAATTCCATGAGAGCGGATTATATCCTCCAAGAATTTCATTACTATCTTTCACTTTAATAATTGATATAGTATGAGATTTGTTATCACAGATCTCATGAAATTTACTAGGTGAAAATCCATCACGAGATCCACGAAGAATTAATTTAAATTCGTACAAATTTTTGATTTTATCGGTAATTTCTAATTTATCAATCCATTTCGAGATTAATTCAACATGTTGGAATGTAATAATTCTTGAATCAATACTTTTTGGGCTAATTTCTTTTGTTATCTTCTTTGGTTCCGGTTTGTTATTTGGTTGAATTATAAAATATTTAATTAATTTATCACGTAACTCTTTGGGTAAGATTTTTTTATATGGATATACTTTATCCACAAATTCATTTGGAGTTAAATTATTGAATTTAATTAAAGGAATAAATTGTTGTAAAGTATTCTTTAAAGTATTAAAATCATCTTTTGAGCAATTTGAAGGTTCTGAGGAAATTTGAGGATTTTGAGCAATACCCCATTTAAGTACATGCTCCCAAACTTGAATATCACTCATTTGAAAATTATCATGTTGAATAAGAGAAATCAAACAAGTTTCTGAAATAGAAATAAAATCGATTGAATTAAAAATTTTTTCTGGTTCTTTAGACATCAATTCAGTACAAAAATTTCGTAATTCCATGAAAGAATTATTTTCAAAACTTGTTTTATATAACAAGTTAAAATTTTGTTCCATCCAATCCTTTTTGTTTTCAATTAAAAATAATTGTAAATGAGTAATTAATTCTTGAAGATTAAGTTCACTGGAAGCAATCAATATTTTAATAATATTCGAGGTATTATATTCTTCCAAAGAAAGTCTTCCTCCATAAATGTATCTAAAATAAAAATATTTGAATTTTTCCATAAGAATGTAAATATATATACACATATATTTTTTTTGAAAGAAAAACTCATCATAATTTATTAATTCCAATTCTCACCTTAATATCATTTGAAAAATTTCAGGTAAAATATTTGGTAATTTAATATGTGTCAAAGTTCCATCATCCCTCTTTTCATTAACGTTGGTTGATAAAATTCTTCGCAAATAAGAAGAACGATAATTTAAAATAACCATGTGAGCACGGAAAATTTTCACGTAAGGGTCATTACCAACTTCAATGGTAATATCATAAAATTCATTATCTTCTAAAATTTCAAGTAAATTTTGAGATAATTTTGGTAAAAATTTATTATCATACATTATTTTCGAATTTCGTATTTTTCAGAGAAACGAAGAATAAAAAATAAAAAAAAAAATACAAAATATTTGTTGAACCAAATAAATATTCGATCATTGATTTATTTGGTAATTTCGGACCGAAAAACATCCGAGTGAGGGGGTCTAATCACGTGATCAATTTACGAAATTTACGAGTCTTAGAAGCAATAGTTTACTTAAACACTCACAAGAGTCCTGGAAAAAAAAAGATAAAAAACAAAGGTAAATCCATTTATTTGTTAAAGAGCCAGAAATTATCATCATTTATGAAATAATTTTTCACAATGAGGAATATCTTTAAATTTGAGTCGATTCAGTTAAACTAATTATCAATTCATATATCAACATTATTATAATAACGAATTTATGATTATCTCGTCAAAAATTTAAACTTCATTTC